CTATTGGAATTTCAATATACCCAGGAGTCATTGGGAAAATATTATTTTGCAGCTGAAATGCTCAAAAATACATTCTTTTCATGGACTAAAGCACAACCTTTATATACGACATTGGGTATTTAAACAAACAATACAAGAATAAGCCGCTTTTCTGCTACAACATGGAACAAACCGTCGGTGAACGGTAGTAAAGTGATGGGCTGTTCAAGGACGTTTCTCAAAATGGGTCTGCTTTAGGTGGCTCTGTGAAGATGATCTGGGTTGCTGCAAGATTGTGTGGGAGGGGCTTTTGCTGTGCAGTCAAACATGACCAGAGAAATCAGAATGCATATTCTCCTTCCCTCTGATTAATAGTCCCAGTCAATGTCAACTAAGTTATTCCTATTGACATATCTATGAAATACTTGCAGAATCAACAGCTATAAAATGGATAGCAATGCAGTGGCACCATAAAGCCGTAACGTTCGTGTCTATTGCAATCAAGGCTTTTAAAACCTAATTACTTCTGGGTGACATCAGTCATATATTTTCATGTAAAATCACAGTGGCATGCGACTGCCCAGCAAAATAAAAGAAAACAAATGATGTCCTATAATAATGGAGAAATGGCCTATCATTTTTAATCTGGCAAGAAAGCTCCAACTGATGAAGCTTAATACAACTTGTTAAAACACCTAACAAGTGAGGCAGTGATTAAGTATTGTCCTTTTGCCTCTGGGAAATGGGATCTGCTCTCACCAGGTACAGAGTGATTGAAATAGCCTTTGCAACTGATTGAACCGCACATAAAGTAACTTCTAATGATCTCAGTCCACTTTGAGCCATAAAGATTTAGAAGGAACAATATTTTAAAAATGATCAAGTTCCACTCTTTTTATTAGTGAGGATAAAACACCTCTGTGGAGGAAATTAAACAGAATAAATTGCTTAAGCCTTCTGCAGTTTCCATCATTTAGCTGTGCTGGAATGGCACCGTTTAAGAGAGGAAACTCTTCAGAGGACCAGATCCAAAGTCCTCCCTCTGATTTCAGCTACTCAGATCTTACTCAATGTGAAGCTGGGCTTAGCAAAGTCCTTAGCGTTTCCTTTTTCAAACAGCTCTCTTGCTCAGTCTAGTTTAGTACTATTATCCAGGCCCCGGTACCAGAACATACATGCAATGCATCCCCCGATCCTTATACACACGTGCCCTGCTGCCTTCTCCATTGCACATATGGGGAATAGAGGCACCGAGAGTGGCTAAGTTGTTTGCCTAGGTACACAAAGCCTGCAAGGGGCAGCTCTCCTTCTCCTGAGCTCCAAGCTAGTGCCCTTCTCACAAGAGGATCCTGTCTGATCCCAGCTCCAACATGCTGCATTGCCACCAAATTACCTCTACCTTAATCTCTCCACAGGGACAGACAGTCACAAACTCCCAGAACAGGTTCCAACCTTCTCACCGGCTACGGCAAAGCCTGCTCCATTTTGTTCTTCTCCCTTTTATTAAGGACACGCTTCCACACTCTTTTCACAGTACTTAAATTAAGTTTTCAAGGTTAATTGCCCAATTTGATGTCTTTGGTTCAATAAATAATTCAGAGACAGTTTACTTCCTTTCATGTAAAGATGCCTACTGAGAGTACAGCAAGCAGGCACTTCCTTTGCTGTGCTGTTAGCTATTGGGTAGAAGGGATTTTTCTCATTTTTGGAAGCACTTACGCTCTT